TAACCTTACCCAGAATACCACGCTCAGTACTATTAGAATAAATCATAATGCTATTGACAAACTGAAAGGCGTTTTATGGTGAACTATAGGCATGCCCTCTCTCACATTCAATGTGCCTTTGTGTTGTTATTACCGTGCGGAGCGGAGATTTGGCTGTATTTTGACTTTCAATACATACTGGGCTTTACCGCTATCCGTGTTGGGAATATCAGAGCAGGACGGGTACGTGACAAGTGGTTTGACGATATTTTCACATCGTGTACGTACTTCACATGTACCATTGTGACGTCACCATGACGACACGCTAATCCTTCGAATGCCAGATACGAAAATGGCTCCCAGAATTAGGCTTTAGTAGTTAGCGCATTTTATGAGCTGGATAAAAATTAATCTCGGCTAATAAAGATACCAAAGCCTCTGGAATTATAGATTAAATGTCACTCGGGTATTTATGGGTCATACAACTTGCAGTCATTCAGAGATAACCATTAAATTCTCGGGCTCGGAAGTGATTGTCGAAGTACAAAAACTGCACTGGTGTAATGTGTGTTGATATGAAGTGGCGTTGAAGAGGACATCTCATTCAGAAACTCTTAATCTTATTGTAGCTATCGACAATGAATGAAAGTAAATTTATGTTTGGGAATAACCTAACTTTCTCTTTGGAATGATTAAGATATAGCAGTCACATGAACCGTTGATAGGTAGTAAAATACTGTTGAAGAGTTTCCCTTGTCGCCGTATCTACAGAAATAATTTTGCTAAGATACATTTACAACATCAAGACATGTACACACATTATTTGTGAGATAACCGGGTCCTAGTATCTGAGAATTGACTGAGATTTTGTATAAAAGGAGTTTACTGGTGATATAATGTTCCATGGGCATTCCTGTCTCTAGATAGATGGGGTAATAGGTCATCCTACCTTGTTAACGAGAATATTTCGACACCGAATAAACAATAATTTAAAAAGCCTAGTATTGACAATGCCCAGATTCCATTTCCATCAACTTTATGTTTATGGCATTACCTAATTATCATGAAATAGGCTGGGAGGCCCTCGTATTATTCTCGAGTCCATGGGAGTACACAAGCTACATCTTAAGACGCCAGAACTTGCTGTTAATTCATGGGTACTTTGTCTGTGGAGTCACCACATAGTAACATGTCTGACTAAAGGATTGCCATGACCGAGGCCCGAAGAACTCGAACTTGCGAAACACGGTCACCCTACATGTACTCCCTGAAACCAGGGACGTTTTGTTGGCAATCGTTTACCGAATAGCCACTGTACGTGCTATATTTTGAGTCATGTGTACAGGTATTGAATCTACTTTACAAACGTCTGAAATGAAAACAAAGCAACAACAGGTTTATCCTGTTCTGCTCGGTACAACAATGCTGATACAAACTTTCTGCTTCTATCTATCAGAATACATCACTTATAGTATTCATTGCCACGTGTCTGTAACTTCAATAGTTGTTCAATCCGTGTTACATATAACTTATGCATCTACATCCAATTGATAATTTTGGTATCTCCTTTGCCTAAATGAATTGGTACATAAAGGAATTAAAATGCTTTATACAGTTGTTATGTGAATAATCCATTATTTGAAAATGTTAATTCGACATATTTTATTATAATCAAGTGGCATCAAGCATTTTATCTTTCTTGAGATCATGATGATCAATGTGGATTTTACTGAAAAGGTCATTTCCAAATTGCCAGAAAGGAATTTCATTTCCATCTTCAATTTTCCACAACCTTTACTTGGTATTGTCAACATTAGTTATGATATGAAATGTCTCATTGCGGCAAAGTAATATAATTGTGGCAGCAAAAAAAGAATTTTCCTGATATTTTTTTTTTTTTTTAAGCGCAATCGAAAACGTGTGCACCATTTCAGAGTTTTCACGATAGAAATGCTGCTACATAACTTCATGAAATACCCGTCGATGGGCATGTTGTTTACGTCTTACAATTATGTCCTACTGGTAAGTAACGTGCTGAGGTTCTAAAAGAGATGAACACGTTTTAAAGCAGTTGTGTTTAAAGCAGAAACATCTTCACTGAACAAACAAATATTTGAGTTCATGTTGTTCCATAGTTTCATAAATATAGTTTCATGTCAATACTTACATTGCGTGTGTTGAAGCAAAGAGCGGCTGTTCATCTGAAAATATTTTAATATTGTTTTGTCATTACTTTGTGTATGTTTTCCCATCGACAAGGCTGTAAATAACATAACCATTATAAGTAAACCTTAATTGATTGATCAAATAATATGGTGTCGGTAGGATACCGAAAAATGAAACATTTAAGGCTTGTTTGTTAAACACACATCACAACTGACACATTTTGACTTTACTTTATTACCTGAAAACATGTAATGCGCTTTTGTACAGGTTCCAACACTCTTCAAAGGCACACAAAGAGATATTTGTTGCTTGGTATAGTAAATGTGCCATCAAATTCCTGTTTCAATGATTAACCATAAAAAAGGAAGTGTTTCTATATATTCGCAGAAAGTATTTGAGAAAAGTAGAATTCTTAAAAACTCAAAGGATTGGATTGATCCATGGGGATTTCATGACGAAAGTTCCATCCTCATCTAACTAAGAGTTGAGGAAAATTTGTCTAAAATGATGGCAACTGCCCTATGTAGTCTACCGAAACAAACACTATGTGAAATGCAGGACTTCCTCACAGATTATATGTTTGTGAAAGCTGATGAGACATCTAGACAAGTAGACGACATCTCAATGGGCATTGAACATACGGACCAAAGAAATTGCTCGGTTTGGCAAATCAAATCAAGTCAATTTGACCAAGAATGTCCCCTCCACAGATGTTCCAACATGAGATAAAAATAGACGAGTCCACTCAAACCGTCGCATCGGTTTCTTATTTAGATCTATGTATAAAGTTTGTATGACGTGTGGAATGACCAGTTTTCCTGTCTTCAAATTTCACCTTCTCAGCTAGTTTCAAGCAGCTGGACTATATTTTGTTATGCATGCTTTTTGTACAAAGATTGAAACACGTCTCTCAACGTTGTATAATCATGCTCTATATTTTAGTAAAGCATTCAGAAAAAAATCTGCAACAATAGTTATGATGTCCGATGCAGTTCCCTATTTTGACTTGTGCCATAAGTCCCAACGGGGGTGTTTTTCAGTTGATAATTTTACTTTCCTTTGTAACGGGTGACATGGATGTTTCAGGATACGCTGATCGTTTCGCGAACACTTGCTATCAACAGTCTCTGATACTGATAAATAAAAGCTTGCTCATGCTGTAGTCGGAATCGAACAGTGGACTCTGCTTAGGGTCAGTTTTTGTCGCTTTTTTTCGATTCATGTGTTAAGTCTCCATTATTAACAGATAGAGATGTTAGATTTATCACATGAACATAGCCAAACAGTACAGCAGCAAAATATGAAACGTCAGTGCAAAGAATACCTAGTTTTGACTATTCTCAAACAGATTCAATGGTGTAAAGGGCAGAGTAGCTGTGAACATTGTCTGAATGGACAACAGACATCCATTCATACAGCGGTCGACAACCTCGCACTTCCTTGAAAGAGTTCCGTAAGCATTATCAATGTGGAAAACACAATTATATTTCGGGATTACCACAACATAATCGATATTCTACAAGGTTAAAGTCAATTCATTTAGTTCATAATTGCTTGTTTTTAATATCACTTAGCAAACTTTAAAACATTTAAGAGTCTTTGCCTTCATGTACAAAATAAGACACGTTACCTAAACTAATGATACCCAGATGAGTAACTGTACGAGTTTGGTCTCGTACGCATGTTTTAGGAATAAGATCTACCTCATACAGGTGACCAATATGACCACACCTGGGAATTTTCTTTTCATTGTGACAACTTCCCCCTTGAGAAAACGGTAGGAGGTAAGTACTAGTTCAATTAAAAATGACACGGATAACCATGACCACAAAGAAAAAGGCCAATGGGGTTTAGCAACACAATTGCATATTTGACTTTGGCAAGAACTTACAAGAATAATGAGACTTGTAAACATACAGCTATTTCCAATTTTTCAGAATAACTTCCGACATGGTTGAACTATAAGTACCGACTGTCCAAGGTAAGTGTGTCACTGATTTCAAATATACAACTGCAAGGTGTAACTAATAACTGAAATCTTGAAAGGTCATGAAAGGTAAACGTGTTTTCAAGAATTGTGGATGAAGTAAATGATGTTTTTTTCTACTTCAGAGAGCGTTTTGTGATTGTCATAGAGACATTTCTATATAAATATTAGATTACGAAAAGTAACAATTTCTAAATTTGAAGTTAACGAATAAGTTTGGTTTAAAGAATACGCGTGGGTCTGTTTCATGTATGTCAATCTTTGAAAGAGGAAAAGGTTTCTTCAATGATACAAGAATGTTTTGAAGCTGATTAATAAATTGTGTCTTCAGTGTTCATCCTCATCGTGTGCCTCGTCTCTTCTACTGTGTTGGGTCACCGTTACATATCTGACCGATGCCAACCGTGCACAGGTTCGGACCCGGTACAACAACGATCACGTTGGACGGGGAGCGATCAGCCCAACACCTGTCAGAATATTCAGGACATCGTCCCCCAGATTAGAGAGCTCAACAGAACCGTGTCTCGGGATAGGTACGACATGGTAAGCCATAGCTTGGTTTTTATGACATTTTTTTGCTATATTTCTTTTGGTAAGACATTTTTGCATTGTGTTAAACAGAACCGTGTCATTGTAAACCATAGTTTTGTATGACGTTTATTTGCTATATTTCTTTTGGAATGTCATTATTTCATTGTGTTTAACAGAACCGTGTCATGGTAAACCATAGCTTTGTATGACGTTTACTTGCCCTATTCCTTTTGTGTAGCCATTGTGTCATTGTGTTAAGTGCCATTGGGGGCTTTATATCTCTCTTCTATAGTCCGTTTGGGTTCAAATGAGAATGACAAATGATTAAATTACTCGAAAATTCACAAAACATAAATAAGACACATAGTTCTGAAACCTCTGTACCCAACAGGATCTGAAATCTGACGTTTCTTGATCGATCATGGAAAAAGTTGTTTAGGAAACTATCATGTAATAGTCTGCTATTTTCACGCTTCACACCGGAGGGTGACAAATGGCTGATGCTGGGGTCATCTCACCTGGCTGTGCGGAGTTGCATCTGAATGTGTGCTGTTGCTGTTCCACCAGCCGTTTGTCACCCATCGGTATGAAGCGTGAAAATAGCACAATATTACATGATGGTTTCTTAAACAACTTTTCATAAAACGTCAGATTTCAGATCCTGTTGGGTCAGGGGTTTCAGGACCATGTGTCTTATTTATGTTTTGTTCACTTATCCCTATTTCGAAATATTTAATCATTCATCATTCTCATTTGAACCCAAACACGTTATAGCTTTATTTATAAATGTTGTATTAGTGCTTCATCATAATACAGTTTGTAGATGGGTTAACTAATATTCCACTTGTTTCGCTATTTATAATGATATTGCATCAAGATTCATTAATTTACTAATTGAATGTTCTTGTATGTATATTCTTCATTCTCAGATCATTAATGTATATGATGGGGATGGCATTGCTGTAGACCTACTAAACATCGACACTCCTGTAGGACTTTCATGGGTAAGTCAAATCCATTAACAGGTGTGCTCCTGCAGACACGCAACTGATTAACTAAACGGTGTAGCCTGTAATAGACATGGTCCTATATTGTCCGTTTCTAATTATCATTTTCTTATTTCAGATGGAAAGAATTTACAACCAACTGTCTTTCCTTCACCTTCACCTGAAACTCATCGAGACTCATCCAAGGAAATATGCATGTTCAGTGAATACGGCCAACACAGCCCAGTGTATTCCCCTGTGTCACATGCACTACATGATGGCCCGGTCGTCTCAGACGGAACGTTTCAATGACATATGCAGAAAAGATGGACACGTTTCAGGAATTTGTCCATCCTTTCAGTTATTTGCATACCGCGTCCTTACAACTGCAGTGCATACATTTAACGAGATCCTAGGTGAATTGACGAGATACACAATACGTCATTGTTATTGAATAAGGAAATACCGTTTCTGTGCTAAGTTCCACTATGTCAGATATTCACCTCAAGCTTCAAGAATTCCTCATTTACAGAATGTTGTCTTTATTACAGAAAAGAAAGTAAATTCAGTTGGAATTGTCTGACAGATCTGACTTATCCGTGATTGTAGTGTTGCAGCTAGTGTGCATAGATTTCACAAGGTAGTGAACTGAAGATCTATTCTGACAAGCTACAGCTCTATTCGATGGTGCCATGACCCATTGCTATGCCTACATGGCAAATCAATTTACTAGTGTATTTGTACATTTGAAGTGTATTACCCAATATTAATATTTTGGGTCAATGCATGCGCTGTTGTTTTGTATATCTATTTATTGGCCGTATCATTAACTGTATACCATTGATAATGGTTGAGCTTGTTTGTTAATGATTGTGAGTGAGTGTGTGAGTGTTGTTTGTCACTGTCAACCATACAATATTGCGTGTGAGAATATGGAGTGTATGTTGTCAGGGATAATCATGATGTATCAAGCCAACATATAAGCATATTTTAAATGCCAATTTCCATTGAGGTGCAATTTATGTTTAGCATGAACACTTTCTTGAGGATTCCGTGATGATGTTTTTTTGTGTTGCCATGATTCTATTATTAATTAATTCAATGGTGTTGACAGATTATTATTTATATTGATGATCAAACAGTTCTTATTAAAACAAACCGCCTCCGTGCTGTAGTGGTCAGAGCGTCCGCCCGGAGAGCGGAAGGTCGCGGGTTCGATCCCGGTCGCGTCATACCAAAAGACGTCAAAATATGGTACTTGTTGGTCCCTGCCTGGCGCTCGGCATTAATGGGTATAACATGGCTTAATCAGCTCGGAGTCAGTATAATGTGTGAGTGGGGTATTCATGCTTAGCTCCAGCATGGTATCTCAGTGAGCTTGCACTATAAAACCAGCTTAGGTCTGGGCTAGTACAAGCAGCCACACATACACATGTATGCACGTCATCATATCTGTGAAATAATCTTAAGTACGACGTTAAACCCCAGTTCACCTCACCTCATTTAAACAATGTGCATTTTACTTGCTCGTTATGAATTAAAAGAATGTTCCTTGCAAAAACTGATGACAAAGTTATGTTATTCATTCATGATGTTTATGGTTCGATGTCACGTGACACTGAAAACTACGTGAAATGCTCAGAGTTGACGTCAGTGTCAAATTTAGACTGACAACATTTAGTCCAGAAGTAGGCATCCCGATGGACACCCATAATGCTCCATTTCTTGCAGGTCTGGTTCTTTAAGCATACGAATCGGAATTTTCGCTCGGATTGACAAAGACAAAACAAGGTGATTTGGCCAATCAGTTTAACGTCAGCTTCGGGTATATCAATCAAGTTACATCGTTCAATAGCCACCAAGTAGCCCGTTCTCTTCTACTGAGTAATCCATCTGAGGTAGAAATAAAGGACACAAGTGAGATCGTCTCGTCTGTTTCATAGATCGATCTGTTAGGAAAGTGAAATATCCATAAGTCTGTATGACAAGTGGGACTTCTGCTTTCCAATCGTCAACCTTGTCTTTTTACCGAGCAGGATTTCAGTAGGTCCATCCTTTGAAGATTACATTTCACACCTTTTGAAGTAAAATCGAACATGCACTTTCTACACAGACGTCAAATAACGTCATGCGGCTCTTGCTCAGACGTTTGTGTTGAAGTTTATCACATTCTTGGCCTCAGTAAAGCTTTCAAAAGAATAATTGAAGACATGTGGAGGATAACAATAACAATGATCATAATGATGACCGATACCATCCTTTAGTTGACTATCGTATAGTCCCCTGGGGCGGTGGTGAACTATCGATTTGTAAGAAATCGCGTGCGACTGTCCCATTGGTGGGGCAGGATACGCTCACTGTTTCAGGGGACATCTGGTAGTATCCCTGTTTGGTGGGGGCCCGTGAACATCCGGGTTATAATTGGGTTTCAGCAACCCATGCCTAACGGGGTCGTGTGGTGTCTTGACTTGTAAATGTCATCGCGACTAACGGGATCGGGTGGTCACTTGGTTAACATATGTCATCTCTGACTGAGGGGTTGGTTGATGTTAACACATGTCATCGTCGTGTGGTTCCACTGGACTGTTAACACATGTCATCGTATTCCACTGGACTGCTTCGAATGTTTACACACCACTGCTGGAAGACATGGAACAAACAAACACTGTTTAAAGGTGATTCAAAAGCCATGTAGTCATATGATTGGAATCGTACAATGGAATTGCATTTCTTGTGAATATGGAAATGGTTTAGTCGCTTTTAATTCTACAATTCACCTACTTGCCAAGATGGATGACAACAATATCTACATGTACACTAAACGCCAAAAGAAAGGTTACCCTCTTTCCTTAATGAAGGAGGTACCTATCTGTAACTGGTCTGTCTAGGGTGACCCCAGTATGTCTGAAGTCCTGAATAAGTCTTATAACCTTGATACGGTGGCATCCGAGGGCGTTGCCAGCAGCATTGTATGTCGACCCCATCTGCACCATCCCAATGGCTCTTTCTCTCTCTTCAGCTGTAATATTTCTCGTACTACTTGCAATTTTCCATCATATCATCTTTTCTAGGCCCTCTTCATACCCTATAGAATCATTCTACATGTGAAATGGATGCAAATACTGCTTGAATATTGCTGCGTTTTGGCGATTGATATTGCTATGTGTAAACAGAAAATGGAAAAATGCTACTTTGCAAGATCATTGTAGATCATTGTAGATGTTAATAAACATTTTTTTCACAATATCAAAGACACGTTTTACTTGTTTTCACTAATGCAAATCATCAGAAAAAGTTTTAAAAGACTAAAATCATAGGAATTATTATTTTACAATTTTACACACTCTACAACGGTTGTTTCTTGTTTTAATAGTTAAAAATGGTGACTTTAAATGGTTTATCTTTGTTCCAAAGCAGAATTTTATTTCAACCTTTCTTTTGGACATCTAAATCACTGTTATTAGTTTATTTTGGCATGGGCGGAAATAGGACAATTTAACTCTTCTGCAAAAACATGCATTTCACCGAAATATGAATGCATTTGAGAATGTTTTTGCATAAAAGTGTGTTGTTAAGCTTTCTTGTTAACTAATGCCTTCTAACATATCTTTGATAGTTTTTTAAGTAATTCATTAAGGTAGAAGGGTTTCTTTTGGCGTTTAGTGTACATCAATTACAACGACACTGAGATATTAACAAGGGTTTCATAGCATGTGCTCTTCATATCCTTCATATAAGAGGATGACAGTGGTGATTGTGTGCCATAGTTTCATAAGTTCGAGTTCTATTTGGCCATTCTTTCAACACCTACCACCAATACCTTTTCTGTTTTCAAGTTCATACGGCTAAAATGAAAAAGGTCTCTGGATAATGCTTTAGAGAAATTGCTAAGAATTTCGGCACTCAGGCATGTGTCACTTGATCTCAAACCGTTACAGAATTATTTCTTCTAGATTATACATAACAACTTTCCACTTTCCTTGTATATAATTAGGCTTTTACCAGAGAAGTCACTGAAGGAATCATTTCTTCAAAGAGTACATGTATAATTTTGTAACAACGAATAAATATTTACAAGTATACACATTAGGGCCTCCAAATATATGTCAAATAAATGGCCTGATTTAAGAGAAATATATGTTTGATGTAATTGGTCGCATTCGTGCCGGTTGGTGTCACTTAAGAAATTATAAACCGATTTTATTATCAATTCGTTTTCATACTGAGACAAAGATTCATCGCCGCTTAGAATAGCATGTAAATTTATATTAGTTTGAAGGAAGTATTTATTACATCTAAACCTGTCATATAGAGGACACTGAAGGAAATAATGGAGAGGATCCTCTCGAGTGTTTCCACAGGAGCAGGTTCGGCTGTCTGACAAACATCTATCAAACAAGTGAGAGTTGAGATCACTGCAGCCCAGGCGCAAACGAAAGGGAAGAAT